AATTGGAGATAAGAGTCTCATGGACTTTCCTTCCCGGGCTGGCTTTGAACTGCGATCCTCATATCTCAGCCTTGTGAGTAGCTAGGATGACAGGTGTGAGCCACCAGCGCCTGTTTCCTTCATTCACTTATGAACTGAAGTGATCTCCTCATTGCTGGGGTAGATTGGATAGATCATAGATAGTTAAGATACTGTTATTTTTATCTATTGTAAATTCCCCGTAAGACAACAGTAAACATTCTGTGGGTAGGTTTGCATGAATGGCTTCTCTGGGATGGGTCTGGTTTGGCGTCTTCCCTGGGCTGCAGGTGTCTGGAGGGTCCACATTCATCTGCCTATGCGTTAGTGTCAGGGATCTCAGCAGGAGGCGCAGTTCCTTACCATTGGGCTGCTGAGTATCTTCCCAGAGTAACAGCTTTACCCAGCATGAGGCACCCGGGGAAGCAAGGCAGGCTGGTGTCAGCTGTGACCTGGCCTCAGGAGTCGCTCTGTCATTTCTGCAGGGGCCGCACGCAGAGGCTGTGCTGCGTGACCACCAGGAGATGGGTGTTCTGGGGCTCCCGTGGAAGCCAGCTATGCAGCTCTTTAGTCAAAATAGCTCTGTGGAATTAGTGTGGGCATTCTGATGAAAATAAATAGTGAATGCATTTTAGAAGTGTCATGCTCCAATAAAATCATATTGATTTAGTTTACTAATTTAATAATTTTTAATTATAGGAGTATTTAAATGGCTCTTGATCGAGCCACACTTACAGTTCTTTGTGCTTATTTTGTTTTATTTGTTTCTTGCTTCTTTTTTTTTTTTTAACATTCCATATAGTGTCCTATAGTCTTATCATTCTTTCAAGAAATAAGATCTTACTGCCAGGCGCTGGTGACTCACGCCTGTAATCCTAGCTACTCAGGAGGCTGAGATCTGAGGATCGCGGTTCAAAGCCAGCCCGGGCAGGAGAGACCGTGAGACTTCTATCTCCAGTAAACCACCAGAAAACCGGAAGTGGCGCTGTAGCTCAAGTGGTAGAGCGCTCGCTTTGAGCTGAAGAACTGAGGGACAGTCCCCAGGCCCAGAGTTCAAGCCCCATGATCGACAAAAAAAAAAAAAAAAGATCTTACTATTTGTACAGGTTGGCTGGGACTGTGATCCATTTCTTTATATTCTGTAGTAGGATGACAGGTACACACCACCAAACCCACCTAGCCTTTTTTGTTGAAATGGGGGCTTTTTTCCATGGTAGCCTGGAATTTGGATCCTCTCAGCCTCCGGTGTACTTGAGATGACAAAGTACATGCCACTGCATCTAGCTTCTCAAGAAATAAATTTAGAGTAAATTTATTTTTGATTATCTTTTGAATTGGGAAGATGAGTTGGTACAAAAGCAAAAACAAACACAGATTGCTACCAACTACCTCGGATGTTTATAAGTCCAAATCTGTAAATTGCTTTCGGCTTATCTCATTGTATTTTTATCTATTTATATATAGCTATCTCCCAACAATTTTAAAATTATAAACATTTAGTTTTTCCTTCACATAGAAAAACATGTTACATTTTTCTTTTTCCTCTATCAGTTGAGCTTATATTCCATGGCTAACCCAGTTACTTAATGTATTAAAAATTTTTTATTTTGAAAGCTACAAGGAAATGATACCATTGCAATTTGTATAATTAAACCAGAAAACACATATACAGAAACAATCTTGAGTAGGAAGAATTATCCTAAAGTGGCATTGAACAAAAAAAGCATACATAACAGAAGATTTAGAGAAGATTTTTAGAAATTTAGAGAAATCCTGAAGATTTCTCTGGGTTTTATTTCATTAGTTGATTGAAATCATACACACATAGTAACAAACTTACCTTCTCATTAATTGGAGCAACTGCTGATATAGACTTACCTTTTATGGGACTTTTTTTCAAAGTACAAATGAGAGATCTGTGGGTATGGCTTGAGTGGTAGAATACCAGGCTTATAAACATGAAACTTTGTTCAAACCCTAGTATTCCCCCCAAAATATACTTCTTGCTGGAAAATGTTCGACTACCATTCTTCCATATAATTGCTGCTTGCTTTCCTGTCTTTATCAAAGGCCAGGTGGTTCTTAGATGATGGAGCGTTATTTTGGTTTTGTTTTTTTGAATTGGATCTGCTAAGAAGTACTGAAGTACAATGGAACAAATTATTGAAGGTATCTGATGGGTTGTTAACTTTCCATTACTATAACAAATGATGGAAGCAGTTGTCTTATAAAGAGAGGCTTATTTTGTCTCCCAAGTTGGGAGGTTTCTCTCTGGTCCATTGGCCCTATTGCTTTTGGTCCTGTGATGAGGGAGGAACACGTGGTGAGTTAGGAGGCTTCCTTCATGACACTGGGAAGGTAAAAGAAAGAGCACCCTACAGGCAGACCCCAGCGACATTCCCACCCCTTCCAGCAGCATCAAGCAGTGGTCTAAGCCTTCAGCATGAGGGCCTGCAAGGGGACATTCTAGCTCCAGACTCTGGCATCTCATCTAATTCTTAGATGAGACAGGACATACACAGGGACTAGACAGGAATGAGAGAATTAGAAAAGGATGCCAAATGAAAAGTTTGGACATGACTTTCATGAAGCCAGTTGAACTTAAGCTGTTTTTCTAAATAATAAAATAGTCATTTGATGCATTGATGCTTAAAAGGTGTAAGCTAGAGAAGAAAGGTATGTTCAAATATGTTTGAAAAATACAAGCTATTGGATAAGAATTACAGATAATATTCTTTTTCAATCTTGTCCCAGTATGTTTGGGCATTCTCTTAGGATTTTGCTCAAGGCTGACTACTTAAGCCACTACTCTACTTCTGTTTTTTTGTAGTTATTTGGAGATAAGCATCTCATAGAGCTTTCTATCCAGGCTGGCTTTGAACTGAGATCTCAGTTCTCAATCTCCTGAACAGCTAGTATTACAGCTACTAATGCCTGGCTTTAGATGATATTCTTGTGATTAGTTCAAGGTAAATTATAATCTTATATGAATTATATTGAAATTTTGTTTGATATTAGGTAAGATTTAACAAAGCATTTATTCCTGGAATTGTTATTATATTTGTTTTGAGGCAGGGCTGTTATGTAACAAAGACTGACTTCCTATGGGTATTACAAGCATACACTACCATGCCCTGCTGAAGTGATTGGTTGTTCTCTTTGTCTCTGTCTCTGTCTCTGTCTGTCTGTCTGTCTCTCTGTTAATTATGGGGCTTGAACTAAAGACCTGGGCACAGTCCCCACTCTTGTGCTCAAAGTTAGTGCTTTACCACTTGAGCTACAGTGCCATTCCAGTTTTTTCATGGTTAATTGGAGATAGAGTATTATGAACTTTCCTGACTGGGCTGGCTTTGAACTATGATTCTCAGATCTCAGCCTCCTGAATAGCTAGGATTTCAGGTGTGAGCCACCAGCTTTCATCTCTGATTGTTCTTTTATTAGAGATTTTATTGGCTTATATACTAATATGTGTTAAAATACGTGAATAACAGTTCTCTAGTCTTGTCTTTTATAGAATAAATGGGACAAAATTATATTCAGAGAGAAGTTAGACATTAGAAAAATGTCCTCTCAACACAATTGGTGAGATGTCCTCTGAAAACTAGCAATTGTGTTGAGGTATATCTTTGTTTCAAAGCTCCTTGCTGAGTCTTTGATTTTGCTTTAAAAGTAATTGCTCTTAGACTAAAGATATTTTTACATTTCTATCAACTTTTTTTTGAGGTATTAAATTTTCCCTAAGTATCATAGGTATCATGGGTGATATATGGACCAGGAGTTAAAATGAAGCAAGGCATGGGCCCTCATTCAGAATTCTTAGTTTGGCTGAGGAATAATTGGCATATATAATGTTAAGTAACGGGGCTGAAAAGTTTGTAGTTAATATTGTAATGATTCCTTGTATGTGCTAAACGTTTGGCACACTCTACCACTAGTCTAGTGGTTTCATTTTTACGTGTGTATTCTCAAAGTAAGTTTTGGTATTTGGTGATGATACAGCTGCCTGATTTTACTAATTTCTATTCTACATGAATGGAAAATACCCTTCAGGAAGATTCTGGGTAGCCTCAGTGGGAGTTGTGAGCTGACACCTATGTTTATTTAGAGAGATGCAGGTGAAGGTTTTGGATTCTCGAATTCTTAGGAAAAGCACATTTATAAAGAGAGGTTCAAATATTTTTAGAGTACTAGAAATTAAAATTATGTTGGAACAGTGTAAGTAATTGAGAGAAAAGGACTACCAAGAAAAATCCTATACCCAATCAAACAATAAATGGCTAGGTAGACAAGAAGAGATGTTTGGAAATGCAGGGAATACCACTTATGAACCTCCTGTGTCAAAGAATAGATTTTGACATATTCTACCAGATGAAAATTGAAACATACTGTGTGGTTCTAAATGCAAAAGATGGGAATGAAACCATTTATGGGAAATGTACAGCATTGTAAGTTACACAGGCAATGTGGATGGTGTTAACTCAAAGCTTTGTTCTGGACAGGAGATGTGGCTCTGAGGCAGAACCTTTGCCCAGAATCTACAAGGCACTGGGTTCCATCCCCAGCATCATGGCCTCCCCTCCCCAAAAATCTGCTTCTGTGTGTTCACTTCCAACCCCCAATTCCGCTTGTTTGTCAGTTCAGAGGAGTTCACCAGAACACCCTGTGAAATCCTGGAAGGAGATGAGATAAAATCCTGTAGCACTCTAACATCTCGACTTGGAGGATTGGTTTTTACAATGCCATACTTTCCTCAAAAGGTTGCTCTGCAGATTTACTAATCTAGGCTCATAGGCAAACAATAGAAACCAGTTATGATGATATATGCAGACTAAGAATCCAGTCCTGAGGGGCTAAGGGTCCCTGCAAAGGCTTCAGCCCCATGTAGCTGACTGACTAGAAATTGTAGAAAATTTGCTTCATAGTGATAGCGTTGAATCTTTATTTAAAAGTAAATTGCCTTTTTCTTCTTTTTTTAAATGTAGGTTATATATTTGGGGAGGACTCCAGAAGAAGCATACAGAATATTAATCCTTGGAGATACATCCTATATTCCTTTCAGGTAAATATAAGAATGGTCTCATAGCTGGGTTCTGGTGGCTCATACCTGTAATCCTAGCTACTCACAAGGCTGAGATCTGAGGATTGCAGTTCAAAGCCAGCCCAGGCAGGAACGTCCATAAGACTCTTATCTCCAAAAAACCACCAGAAAATCAGAAATGGCGCTGTGGCCCAAGTGGTAGAACGCTTGCCCTGAGCTGAAGAGCTGAGGGGCAGTGCCCAGGCCCAGAGTTCAAGCCCCATGACATCACACACACACACAAAAAAGAATGATCTGACAGATTGATTTAACCAGACACTTGCCAGCAATACCTTGCTAGCTGTTTCTGAAAAACAACCTTCTGCTAATACGTGTTTTTAGGGTGGGTGCAAGTAACACTACGGATGTAGGGTTCTCACCAGTCTGCTGGCATTTTATGAAGAGTGTATTGGGCATCATGGGAAGTTTAACAGCATCTCTGCTTGTTGGATGCCAGTGACTGCCCCACTCCCACCCCAGTGATGAGTCCAGAGTATGTCCACACAGTGACGGACACCGTATGTGGTCAGGGTGGAGTGAGGGAACCCATGTCTCCTAATTGAGAATCCCTTGGTATTGACGAAAAATAGGTTTTGAAACCAGTTGCCAATCCTGGAGTTATGGCACCAGAATTACCACTGAGGAGCTAAGCAGTAATTTTGCCCAGAAATCAGGAGCAAAACCCGAGGCAAAACTGACCCCATTTTCCTAGGAACCTAGCCAGAAGAGGTAGTAGTAAGTGAGAGGTTGTTACTGTGGAACCACTGCCAGGTAAGCTGCTATGTCATGGAGGTGGAGCTAGGAGATAATAATGCCTTTCCAAATACTCAAATCATATTGCCAGCTGGGAAGGTGGCTCAGTGGTAGAGCGCTTGCCTTGCAGGCATGAGGCCCTGGGTTCGATTCCTCAGCACCACATAAGCAGAAAAAGCCAGAAGTGGCGCTGTGGCTCAAGTGGTAGAGCGCTAGCATTGAGTTGAAGAGCTGAGGGACAGCGCCCTGGCCCAGTGTTGAGGCCCCACGACTGGGGGAAAAATTGTGAATATCTTTAAAAGGGTATGGATCAAGGGAGTCTGGTACTTTATTTCTTTGAATCAAAATTTTAAGGTCTCTACTTCTTTAGCAAAGTACTTAGCTATAAAATTTAAGTACTTTATGGTGCTTGGTGGATACTAACTGGAGCAGTTTTACTCTTGCCTACTTTATTGATATTTTCATTATTAACTGACAATCACATTTTCTTTTCTTCACATTGGTTCATTGTTTCTGATTGTTATTTCATAATAACATACGAGGAGTACTTCAATTTTGAACGTTCTGGCCTTATCCTTGAATACATAAAGTTATGAATCTTATTGATGTCATTGTGGATGTGGGGTGTAGCTCCCTAATTGTAGGCAGATTCTTTTCAAATAACTGCAGGGAATCCAGGCTCCAGTGGCTCATACTTGTCAACCTAGCTGAGAATTGGAGTTGTAAGTCAACCTGGACAGGAAAGTCTATGAGACCCTTATCTCTAATTAATCACCAAAAATCTGGAAACTGATCTCTGGCTCAAGAGGTAGAGTGCCACCCTGTAGTGAACAAGGTAAGGGACAGCTCCCAGGCGTTGAGTTCATGCCCAGTACCAGCACCAAAACAATCCAAACTCTAGTGGGTCATCCATGAACTTGCTCTGTGGAAAGAGATTTGTTGGGGTGGTCTGCAGGATTCATTAATGGATGGAGGACAATGCACTAGTTATTGAACAAAATATACGAATTAACACCAGTATTATCCTTTCATCCTAGCTAACAGATCATGTTAAGTACTGTGTTATTAATGGGAAAATGCAGGTACTAAACTGAAGTGTATACCATTATCTTCTCAGCTTTAGTGGCAACCATGATTCTTTTATAAGAAATGCTGGTCTCTGTAGCAGAGGTACATTGGTCATCTCTTGATGCACTGGTAATTTTGTTCTACAGAATTCCTTTACAGTAGTAACCCTTCATAGCAACATTCTAATAGTTTGCAGTATAAGGTCTTAAAATATAAGTAAGTTCAATCATTTCATAGAATCAAAGTAAGGATCCATGACACACTGTTAGTATAGAAAAGAAGTTTTATGTTAATTTAAATACAGGTGCTGAAGCTGGGCACAGGTGGCTCACATTTGTATCCTAGCTACTCAGGAGGCTGAGATCTGAGGGTTGCCATTTGATTGGAAGCCAGCCCAGGCAGGAACGTTTATGAGACTTTTATCTTCAATAAACTATTCAGAAAAAGCCGAAAGTGGCATCGTGGCTCAAGTGGTAGAGTACCGGCCTAGAGCAAAAGTATCTCAGGGATAGCATCCAGGCCCTGAGTTCAAGCCCCAAGACCAGCAAAATACATACATACATAACAGATGCTGAATAAAATGTTACTGCTTGTCACCTTGTTGGACGTGATTGAAACTTAACACTGAGAAATGAAGCTTGTTTCTCTGGTCCAGCCAGCTGTTTTCTCTTTAAGAAAAAAAAATGACTTAATTAAAGCTAGTTAGCTTTGTGAAATTTGAATCTCTGTAGCCAGAGATGCCAGAGTACTTAATTTATCTAAGATAGTATTTCTCAAACTAGAGTTGTGCCAGGCTATGAACTTATTGTCAGTAGCATGTGATGAGATGTATACAGAAATTGAGAGATAGATTGTAGTGATGTTTATAGTAATTTAGTAAAGTCTTACAGAACCAAAGTAGGAAAGAAGTTGGATTTGTGCTTTATATTTTTTTCTCATGTTTCTGGAAGTTTAATTTACAAAAATAAGATTAGTATTGCAAGTATGTAATAGGTATACTATTTGTATCTTTTATACAGTATTTTTTAATGAAAGTATCAGTCTGTGATGGACTTAAAATATTAAAATTGACACTATATCACATTTTGCTGTTTTATTGAACTTACTAATTAGAAAATAGGAGCCAGGAATGTGGCACAAGCTTATATCTCAGTATTTATGAGGTTAAAGCATGAGAGTCAAGGTTCAATGTAACAGCATAGGCTGTAATGGGACCCTTTCTCTAGTAAAGAGATGAGCCAGTTGATGGGATTGAGGTAGGAAGCCAGCCAGAACAGATAAATTAAGACTCTTATCTCCAGGGAGCTAGTAAAAAGTTAGAACTAGAGGCATTATTCAGGAGGTAGAGTGCCAGCTGTGAATGGAAAAGCCCAGCAAGAGCAGGAGGCCCTGGGTTCAAGCCCAGTCTGTCTGTCTGTCTGTCTCCCTGCCCCCCACACACACTCAGGTGGGTGAGGGAGTAAAGGAAGAGAATAGGCCAATTAGAATGCATAAGATTTGATAGTATTTTGAAATAAATTACATCACATCTTTTTAATCCTTACCCCTCCAAGTATATAGAATACACGTAACACAAATATCACCAACATGAGGTTATGGAAGAATAGTACTTATGCTGCAGCCACAGTACTATTTATTGGGTTGAGATACAGAAGATCTCAGTTCAAACAAAGCCAGCCTCCATAGCAAAATCCTGTGATTCCATCTCCAAAATAACCAGCAAAAACCAGGGTTGGAGAAGTGGTTAAAGTGGTAAGGTTCTAACTATAAGTGAGAAAGCTAAGCTAGTACTTGAGTTCAAACACAGTTACCAGCCAAACAAAAACAAGAAAACAAAAAAGAATGGCATTGGAGGAGAAGGGGGAGCACAGAACGAGTTCAGCAGTGATACTCACTTGTGTGTCAGGGCCTGGGAGGGAAAAAGCTGACGTAGGGTAACTGGAACCTTCTGTGCGTCACCTGTACAATAAAAACTTTAAAGAAAAGGAAGAACAGCATTAGTTTTCAGCAAACTTCTTTTATGTTCAGTATTGATAGATAATTAGATTTAATTAAGCTTAACAATAGTTCTTTGAGTTTCAAAACATAAAACATGTGGTTATAATAATTAGAATCTATCCAATTATATTTAATTTCTTGAGATAGCTTGCCTGTTTGTTGACATCAGTTGAGTGAGAGAATTGCCACTGTTGTCTGTGGTCCTTTGCAAGTTTGAACCCTGGTCGACTCAGAAAGAAGAAGAATACTGTGGAAAGGCCTTGTGCAGATGGAGGCACTTCTAGCAGTAAAGCCCTTGGTATGGTGCCTGGCCCTTAACTAAACGTGGTGACTTCATTCTCCTCCTCCCTTTTCAGAGTGAGCCTATAACTTAAATACAGTTCTGAAAGAAAACACTAATCTTGTTTAAAAAAAAATCTCTGTGTGTTGCTAGGAATTGAACCCAGAGGGTACTGCCTGCTCTACCTCTTCTTCCTCTGTAAGCTCAGCCCGAGAACACTCATCTGAAGCCCACAGTCCAGTTTCACATGGGTGTGTGTAACTGCCACATGTCGGCATCTAGAACATTCCCCCAGGATTCCTGTCCATCCATTTGCAGTCGATCATTAACTCCTGCCAAGGAACTGCTACTGTGACTTTCACCATCCTCAGTTAGTCTTGTTTTGTTTTTTTGGGGGGTCAGTTGTGGGTCTTGAACTCTGGGCCTGGGCGCTGTCCCTGTGTTCTTCAGCCCAAGGCAAGTGCTCTACCACTTCAGCCACAGCACCACTTCCAGTTTTCTAGAGGTTTATTGGAGACAAGAATCTCAGACTTTCCTGCCGGGGCTGGCTTTGAACTTCGATCCTCAGATCTCAGCCTCCTGAGTAGCTAGGATTACATATGTGAGCCACTGGTGCCCGGCTTCTTGTTTGTCTTTGAATCACTTATGTCTGGAATCCTTAGTTTGTATCTTGGGGAGCTCTGGAAGTGGTTATATATATATGAAATCTGTCTGCTTGTGGCAGTTCATTTTTTTCACTGCTTTTTTTAAGCACTCCATGGTATGAGTATACTACAGTTTTTATTTTATCTGCTATCATCTTGATAGATACGAGTTACTTGCAGTTTTTGGCCATCGGGAATATGTTATTATGAAAGTATTTGACATTGTTTCGCAGTTTTGAAGCTGTTGAACAGCTTTTCTTGAGAAGCATCTGTTTTTCCAAGTTAAGTGATCTTGGTGATAAGTATTGTTTTCTGTCACAAAGGCTTATGTCCAGATCCCAGATTGTTCCTCTGTGTAGTTGAGGAGGCTGATTGCTTGGGTGGAAGAAATGAGGTGTTGGAGATGATTATGAAATAACATAAGCTTGTCATCTGCTCAGGATAGGGTGATACATGAAGTAAGAGTACATTGAGACGGTACGGGATAGAGCAGGCCTTGCTTTGGTAGGTTCTCAAATGCGTATATCAAAATCGTTAGAACACTGAATCAGCGTGCCCTTAACTAAAGTAGGAATTATGAGTAGTTTCAGAAGGTTTTACTTGCTAGTAATACTTTCTGTTACAAGAACAACTAGTGTTAATGGAGGAGAGACATAAAGTAATTGGGATTCAGTTTGAGAAGTCATCATATTACCTGTGACAGACAGTCTTTTCTTCCCTTACCTTTCTAGTATAAAAATGTTTTAGCAAAAAAAAAACTTATTTGTACAAAACAAGTATTTGCCTGTGGTTCATAAACTTGAAAATAAATCACATTCACCTGGAGGATGTCACGATTTTGTTTTTTCTTGTAGTATGGAGAACAGAAGCTCGAGTTTTAGACAGGCTAGTAAAACACTCTACCAGTGAGCCAAGTTACACCTCTCAGCTTTGGAGGACCTCAAAAAACACAAATTATCACCAGGCTTCTGTGACTCAGGCCTGCAATTCTAGCTGCTCAGGAGGCTGAGCTACAGAGGATGGGAATTTGAAGCCAGCTAGGGCAGAAAAGTCCAAGAGACTTCATTTCCAAAATAGTCATCAAGGGCTGTACTAAAGGTATTGCTCAAGTGTTATTTTACTAGCCAAACAAGCAGTCAAGCAAGCACAAGGCCCCAAGTTCAAAACCTGCACCAGCAATTACCACCTCTCAAAATCATACCTATCCCTAGAAGTTCTGGTGGTGTTAGAGTGAATAGTGGCTGAAGATGTGTGTTTTATGTGTCTAGCTACTAATCAACCATCCATCTTACTGTGCTGGAGATCAAACCGAGGTTTCAAACTTCTGGCAGATGCTTTACCACCGTGATACATATACCACAGCTCTTCCTAACTTTTAGAAAAGAAACTATTAGATCCAGAATCCTAAAGAACAAAAAATGTAGTAAAACTTTGTGTCCAATCTTTATGATATTAACATGACTCAGTAATTCGTGTGTGTGTGTGTGTGTGTGTGTGTGTGTGTGTGTGTGTGTGTGATAGTACCAAGGGCTTGAACTCAGGGACTTCACACTCGACTATTTTGCTCACAGTTGGTGCTCTACCCCTTGAACCACTCCTCCAGTACTGCTTTTGTCTGGTTAATTTGGACATGGAGTCTTGTAGACTTTTCTGCCTGTGCTATCATTAAACCAGTGTTCTCCTGGTCTTCGCCTGCTGAGTAGCTAGGATTACAAATTACTGAGCTGTGACTCAGTAATTCCAAACAAGTTAATCAGCCAGTGGCACTTTAAGCTCCATAAGCCTACTTTTAGTGAGGAAGTGCTCCTTTTTCTCACTGTGGGTGTATCCTGCACAAATTAATAATCTTAACCCTTAGATCTTGGGCAGGAATTAAAATCTACTGTGCAGTGTAAGTTTTTAGGAAAAAAAAATGTATGCACAACAAATGATGGCCCATTAGCAGTCTTGTTCAGCCAAGGTTCTCCTATAAGGACTGTGGCTGCAGGTACATCAGGTTGGGTGTTTTTGTTTTGTTTTGTTTTGTTTTTGGCTTAATAAATCCAAATAGTTCTATCTTGTAATAGTATAAAATAACCAGAAAGGAGAAATGGATAAAGGGTGTGTGTGTGTGTGTGTGTGTGTGTGTGTGTGTGTGTGTAAAGGAGAAATGGGTAAAGGGTGTGTGTGTGTGTGTGTGTGTGTGTGTGTGTGTAAAGGAGAAATGGGTAAAGGG